CAGCTAAAATATCTACCAGATTGATTAAATGTTCCTCATTAATGGCTTTACATAAGCACTGTTTCCATTTACTTTTCTAACTAATATTTCCTCCAGTCTCTTTGCTCTGCAGCATACTTACCTCTGACATTTAATCAAAACTTATGAAGTAAGTAAACAAAGCAAGAAAAAAAACCTATGGTCAAGAGATAAAATATCAAATTAATCAGACTCAGAGATGACTAGATATATCAAATAAAGTAATTAAAATAACTGTAATTAATATTTTAAAGACCCTAGAAGAAAGATTGTAAACACTGTAAACCTGTAGCCAAATATAGCTTGTTGCATGAAATTGTGAACAAAATTTTATTGAATATAGCCATATCTATTTATGCTTATTTATAGCTACATTTGTTCTGCAAAAGCAGAATAAAATAGTTATGAGAGAGACCATAATGTCCATAAAGCCTAATAAATTTAACCTCAGCCTTTACAAAAATGTCATTTACTGACCTCTGTGCAAATGGAAATGTTTGTCACTCTGCATCAACAAATACAGAATTTCATCAGAGGTTTGGAAACTGCCAGGAAGTGTCATATAGAATCACTACAAATAGAAACTATATTGGATGGATTCCTTCAAAAGGGGTTATTCAAGGAAAAAAAGTATAGGAATAAATCAGTGAGCTAAAAAGTGTGTCAATATCAATAGAAATTATTCAGTCTGAAACAGATAAAGATGCAAAGATAGGTTAAGAAAAAAAGAAGAATCTACAATTTCGATACTTAGCCAAGCCAGCTCATGTATGTAAATGGTCAACAGAAATGTGATTGAATCTCCCCAAAGCAAAAAAAAGACAGGACAGAGAAAATTTTTGAAGTAGTAATGAGAAAGAATTTGATAAGTACTGCCACTGAGGCCTGTACTTAATTAAACAGCCACACCACTTAAACCAATCCAGGGGGGTGGCAATAGTGAATAAGATGAGATGACACAAACTGAACAGAAATTTTCAGTATGCTACAGACTTACTCCCATTTTCATGACGCATTCTGCTGATTTGTTTGAAAATACAGACTTGCTTATCAATTTTTAGGTGGCATTGACCTAAGACACAAGCAAATCCCAATGAGTAGAAGAATCAGAATGAGTGGTATTTAGAGAGTTTTCTAGGACAACAAGCCAAACTACAAATATAAGCACAAAATATCTATTACTTAAATATGGAAAGCAAAAAATGAGTGAGGCATAGCATAATTACATTATATGTCTAAAATAGAGTGGATTTACATAAAAATGAGTCCAACACAGTCATGATTGATTTGACTCCCAAGTAAATAGGTATACACCCAAATGATACTGGCAATGCACAGAATTCAAGGCAATCAAGATTCCCATTCTTGTCTGTGACATGATTTACATTTGGTGGTTCATGATATAACTGCATTCTTAGTAGGTAGATAATGTCATCATCAAATATCAGAGGGAGGTATGAGAGGATGTGAAGACGTGTCAGTGGAACAAAAGATGTTTAATTTGGAGAAAAAATTGCAACAAATTTATTAAATAATTTTCTGAAGTAGAAATGGAGTTAAACTTGTTTTTATGGTTTCAAAATACTAGATAAAACATGAATAGAGATTTTTAATAAGCTGAGATCCCAAATTGATTCTTTGAAATATTTCCTATGTGATCAGGATTTTGTTCATAGTTTCTGCCTACAAAATGTCTTCAAGAGTTATACCTATACCTATTCTCCCAGCAGATTTAGTGTTTCTATTTTAGTATTTAGATCATTGATCCATTTTTATTTTAGTTTAGTGCATGATGAGAGATATGGACCTAGTTTCAATCTTTGGTATGCGGAAAGCCAGTTTTTCTGTCACCATTTGTTAAAGAAGCTATGTTTCTTCCAGTGAAGTGTGTAAGCCCCTTTGTCAAAGATAAGGTTACTGAGTGTGTTTTGAAGTTGTTTCTGGATCTTCTAATGTGTTCCATTGATATTTGGGTCTGTTTTTTCCCAATACCGTGCTGTTTTATCATGATAGCTTTGTAGTGTAATTTCAAGTCAGAAACTGTGATGCTTCCTGCCTTGCCTTTGTTGACCAGAATTGCTTTTGCTATTCTAGCTCTTGTTTGGTTCCAAATGAATGTTGGGTTTTTTTTTCTCTAACTCTTTGAGGTATGCTATTGGTATTTTGATTAGGATTAGATTAAATCTGTATTTAATGTATATGAAATCTGTATTTTGGGAGAACTGGCTCTTCCTACCCAAAAGCAAGGGATATCTTTCCATTTTCTGATATCCTCTTTGATCTCTTTTTTCAGAGTACTGTAGTTTTCAATGTTAAGGTGTTTTACTTCCTTCATCAGATTGATGCCTAACTATTTCATTTTTTATGCTATTGTGAAAGGTGTGGTTTCTCTAACTTCTCTCTCAGTGAATTTGTTATTTGTGTAGAAGAATGATATTGATTTTTGAGTGTTAACTTTGTATCCAGCCACATGACTCAATTTAGCTATTAAATCTAGAAGACTTAGTGGAGTTCGGGGGTCTTCTCTGTGGAGTAACATATCAATCACAAATAATGATAATTTAACTTCTTCCTTTCCTATCCTTATTCCTCTTGTTTCTTTCTCTTGTTTGATTGCTTGGACTAATGTTTCCAGAACTATATTGAATAACAGTGGTGACAGTGAACATCCTTGTCTTGTTCCTGATTTTAGAGTGAAAGCTTTCAGTTTTTGGCCATTTAGTATGATGTTGGTTGTTGGTTTGTTATAGATGGCTTTTATCAGACTGGGATAATGATCATATATCCTAGTTTTCTGCAGGGTTTTTACCATGAATGGATTTTGGACTTTGTCAAATGCTTTTTCTGCATCTATTGAGATGATTATGTGATTTTTGTGCTTGGCTCTGTTGATATAATGTATCATATTTATTGATATGCATATGTTGGACTATCCCTGCTTCCCTGGAATGAATCCTTCTTGGTCATGGTGTATAATCTTCTTGATGATTTGCTAAAATTGTTTGCCAGGATTTTATTGAGGTTTTTTATGTCTATGTTCATTAGGAAGATTGGCCTGTAGTTCTCTTTTTTGGTTGGACCTTCTCTGAATTTGGTATCAGGGCAATGCTTGCTTCCAAGAATGAGTTTGGGAGTATTGCTTCCCTTTCAATTTCATTAAAGAGTTTAAGGAGTTGTGGCATTAGGTCCTCTCTAAATTTCTGGTAGAATTTACCAGGGAATCCATCAGGACAGGCTTCTCTTCATTGGTAGGGTTTTAATTACATCTTTAATTTCACTTAACAAAATTGGGCTAGTTACAATTTTTATATATTCTTGATTCAGCATTGGTAATTCACATGTGTCTAGGAAAACTGTCAACTTCTTCTAAGTTTTCCATCAGATTTGAGCATAGCTTCTTGAAGTAAGTATGGATGATCATCTAGATTTCTGCAGGATCTTTTGTGATTTCACCATTTTCATCCCTAAGTGCATGGACTTGAGTCTTTTCTTTCCTCTTCTTGATAAGATTGGGTAGGGATTTGTCGATTTTATTTAATCTTTCAAAGAAGCAACTTTTCAATTCATTGATTCTTTGTATTGTTTTCTTAGTCTCAATTGCACTAATTTCTACTCTTACCTTTATAATTTCCTTCCTCATATAAGCTTCACACTTGAGTTGTTCTTGTTTTTCCAGAAGTTTGAGATTCACCATTAGATTGTTCATTTAAACTCACTCTGTTTTTCTGATGTGGGAATTCACTGCTATAAATTTCCCTCATAGGACTGCTTTCATTGCATCACAAAAGAAATCATCAACAGAGTAAAGACACAACCCACAGAGTCGGAAAATCTTTTGCCAGTTGTTCCTTAGACAAAGGACTAATATCTAACATATATAAAGAACTCAAAAAATTGGACCTTCCCAAATTTAAAGAACCAGTCCAAAAAAAGTCATCTGAAATGAGTAGACACTTCTCAGTTGAAGAATTACAAAGGGCAAATAAATTTATGAAAAAATATTCAACATCACTGAACATTCAAGTGATGCAAGTTGAAACAACACTGAGATTCTATCTCACTCTAGAAAGAATGGCTGTTATCAAGAAATCAACCAAAAACAAATGTTGATAGGGCATGTGGGAGAAAGAAATCCTTCTCCACTGTTGGTGGGAGTGTAGATTGGTGCAACCACCATGGAAATCAGTGTGGAGATTCCTTAAAAAACTAGGACTAGAGATTTCATTTGACTCAGCTGTTCCCCTTCTTGCTGTCTTCTTGATAAAATTAAAAACATAGTATCACAGCCACATATGCGCACCTATGTTTTTAGTGCCACAGTTTGTAAAAGCTAAACCTTGAAAACTGCCCAAAGGCAGTTGTGATTTTTTTATGCAATGAAAATGTGATTTTTTTTGTGCAATGAAGTACTAAAGTACTACTCTGCCATGAAGAAGGATAAACTTGAGACATTTCTAGGTAAATAGATGCACTTTGAGACTATACTGTTACATGAAATAAACTGGACACATACATTCAAATATTGCATGGTTTCTCTGGTGTGAGAAACCAAAAGTATAAATGAGAACTGAAATGAACATTGTGAAATAGAAAAAATATCCAACTAGGAAGGGGAACTGGAGGGGAGGAAAGGAAAAGAGAAAAGAATGAAAAAATGGAAACAAACCTTCTATAAATGAAGAGAAAAAGGGTTGAAGAGAGGGCAGGGGAATGGAAAAAAAGAATCAAGATAAATCATGTACAAGATAAATCATGTAAATGTCCTATGATGAATGTGATCATTATGTATATATAAAATGTACTAATACAATTAATTACTATAAAAAACATGGATAGAAATCCTAAATAAAATTCTAGTTCAATATAGTCAGAAAGTTTCGAACTGCAAAGCTATCAAAAAGTGTAAGAAAATGAGCTCCCCATCACTACAGGTATTCATAACCAAACTTGATGTTGAGAAGGCCCAAGCACATGACTCGTGGTAGTGCACACAGCCTTTATCATCTGGATTTCTTACATTTCTGTATTCCAGAAAAGGAAACCCCTATGGAGAGAAAAGAAGAAAAAATTAATGGGGGACCAGTCACAAAACAGGATTGGATTTTGGGGGAAGCACCTCATATTTCACTTTGTTGAATTTCAATGCCTTTCAGACAGCCTAACAGAAAGGTTTGTGCAATAATTATTCCTATTTTCTGGAGTTCATAAGAAAGGTCTGAGTTAAAGATAAGTTTGAATGTATTCATTGCATACATCAATACTGACCCATAAAATCTGTAAACTTAATTTCAACTATACATTTTTATTCCAATCTATTAGAAATACCATTTAGTATATAATCAGTATAAAATTGTTAATGTGATAACTTCATTTTGTTGTTGATTATAGCAAGCCTTCAAGCACTGATATGTGTTTTATCCTCTGATCCCATCCTAATTCAGATTTCTACTCTCCAAGTGCTCAGTAGACACGTTTGGGTAGAGGTTACTCTAACGGACACGGGCATAGATGATTACTGATTTCATTAAAATAGATAATTATAAAAAGAAGATTTAGGATTTAGCATTGAGGAAACCCAACAAGGAAACTAATACAGTCAACAGAGAGAAAAATGATTTAGGAATAATACTGATACAAGAGTGAGGAGAGTGAAGATGTATGTGGCCAGTTATCTTAAATTCTGCCAAAGGCTCAGAAGCACAAAAAGTCTATGGGATTTACTGATATAAAACCCTGGGAACCCTTGTAAGGATAGACGCAGTGTGACAGTAGTAGAAAGGTGACTGTTGGAACTCCACTCTTTTCAGTTTGAGGAGTAACATGCTGAGACATTGCAGTTCTCACCCATGGGCTTTGGATGCCTCTTGGATACCCCATTACAGGATAAAGGACACTGGGCAGGAGCTACCTCAGGAGACTCCTGTGCACAGCTCAGAAATCAGACAGCTGTACTATATCCCTTCCATGGGAGTAGAATCTCTTAAAAATGTAAGCTTTCTTCCCACTCATCACTCACACTAAAATTAAAAGTTAAATTTAAATTATTAAAAAGTGTTCAAAGCACAAAATAGATCCTTTCATCCTTTTAAAAAATGATTGGTTATATTTGGGCAGGGGTGGAATGGAGAAACATTTTCATGCACACAGCTGTCAGTGATGACTCTTCAGGGCTACTGTTTGCACAGGTGAATGGAGGGGTTTGGAGTGACATAAGAGAAGAAAACCATGTGTATGGAAAACGTGATCTCAGCACCATGTAAGATTTTCTCTTGGTTAAAAGGAATGCTAAGCCCCACCTACTGGCACAATTATTGAGATAATATATACATGTTTTACCAATCACAGCAAAGGCAGGAGTGGTTATACTGTCCAATTCCCTCACTTAGGGCGTACATGCTCAAGGGGCTTTGTCACTGCTATCTGTGGAGCGGCCTCCATTACCTGGACCTCCACCAGTAAGTGGAGTAGACAATTCCTTGCAAAAGAAATGGGATCAAAGAGGACAAAATCTTCAGACATAAAATATCTTCAATCCAGATGCAATCTTGATTCTGAAGCCTTAGATGCTAAACAAAGATATGTTCAGGCTGGTACATTCAAATAAAGAACACATAAGATTCTTCTATTTAGCCTGTTTGCCTTCAGTTGACATGTGGCAAGTCCAGTCACTGCTTATTTATTTCCCGGTCCATTGGGGTACAAGAAAAAAGTCTGCAGTTCAAGTTCTGCGTTATATTGGACAAAACCAGACTTTTCTGGGCCTCTGCCACCTCATTCTTTCTAGGTCCACATGGTCAAGTCTCACCTTGATTCATTCAGTGTTCTCAGGTTTTCCTGCTACCCCATGGCCATGCTAGGATCTCTGTTCTCTTGAAAGCTATTTTTCCTGCCAGCTCACTCAGAGGACTTATGATGACTGCAGTTGCCATAGGAATGAGTCATCTATCATAAAAGTGGCTGCATGAGATCACAAATATTCGAAGGAGAGCCAGGAAGGGGTGGGAGAGTGATATTCAAAACAGATAGATCTATGGTGAAAGTGGCTGACAGCTTAATGAGAGGGGGATAAAGCTCGTGAATTTTCTATAACTCTCGTGTGTGTGCACTTCTCCGAGAGACAGATCCACTGCCAAACATGTCTCTCCTGTGTCTCCCTTGCCTGTTACAGACATCCTCCACCAAAATAAGATGTGGTATTTAAACTCAGGGCCATAAGTCCCCTCCTCACCAGCCAGCTGGTGAAAATGCAGGGCCAGGACAGCCTGGGTGAGCCCGGACAATACACTCTGGGCATCTAGGACAGCTGTTTGTCCATGATCATTCACTTGTCATGTGTAAACAAAGCCAGAGAAAATTTCAAAATGATTTCTCTCTCTGCCTGGATTGTTTGCTTCTTAAGTGCACCATTTTTACTTCAAGGTGGAATATCTTTGTTCTTGGGGTGGAATATTTTTATCGTCAGGTAATTAAACTGCCAATATTTCAGCAGTCATAGTCATTTTGTTCTTTTCTCTCCTTAAAGGAACCTAACAGTATCCTAAGCCCTAAATCTAACCTCAGGCTTCGTATTAAAGCTCAGTTGTAAGCTCAATAGCATACAAATGTGAGTCCAAAACTGAGACCCTCAGGGCAGCCATAGATAGCCACTCTGCTGACCCCAATGATGGGCCATAATGCAAGCCACACACCTGTGTGTGTGACCAGAGATAGACCCCTGTGAACCAGAACCAAGTATATCTCAATGACCCCTGAAGCCAAGGGACAAAAGAGAGGTAGACAGGCTGTGTGGGCCATTCCCTCTAGGGAACCACAAGTCACCTTGTATCCCTTCACACAGATGGGTCAGAGACAGTTTTGTCATGAGATACAATACATTCATTTCAGTTTCCTAGCAACAGGATGCCAATCAGACAGTTGTAATTCAAGGATTCATTGTCTTTGTTGTTGAAGAGCTGGCAGCAGGGAGGGGAGGAGGACGTCCCAGCATGAATAGAACTGATGAGTGGCCTGAGGATGAGGAGACCAAGTCTGCAGAAGAAGGAACCTCAACAAACTTGTCCTTTTTTCCCCTCTGGCTCTTTGAAGCTGGATCCATCCTCCTGTCTCTGCAGCTGCCACCACTGCGCTGGCTTCTTGCTCCTGCATTAATTAACTACTGTCGATGGGTCCAATTCCAAATCATATGGCATGTTTTTGAATCACACACAGTGCTTGCTACATACTCAAAACATTGGCAGTAGAACACAAATCAGGACAGGAACAATAAACCTTTTCAGGCAAAGCCCCTAATACATCGGTTAGGTTTTGAAAATGCTGTCATGGCTAAGTCACATGCTCAGGTCGGTGAGACATTATCCTGGGTCTCATGCCCACTCTTTATAGCACCTGCAAATTTATTACGTAAGATATTATTTTCTACTCAATCTAATTACTTAGAACTATTTGTAGTCATTTGAAATACACTCCATGTTGATTAAAATAATTAGTGTAGGGCTACTAAATATTTACCTAAGATATGAATCCAGAGGGAATTTGATAAATTTAATTAGCAAGAACTAATTATTGTTATGATAGGAGTTAAGGTTTAATAAATATAATTACAGAGTACAAATGACGGTTTCTTAATTAATAGATACTAGTTGCAAACACAAGAGCCATTATCATATTTTCATGCAGGACGTGCTATTCAGTACACCTTCCAGATGTCAATGGCAGCTGTGATGGCGACTTACAATGAGAGGAGGGAACACTTGTACGGTGCTTATGCTGTCAGCCACAGTCCTGAGTGCTGTCAGCATATTAGCTTGTTGAATTCTTAAAATAATGTTACCTTAGTCCACACTTTGCGTATGTAGAAATGGAGACACAGGAAGGTCAAGGAACTTGCCCAAGTTTACATAACTAGGAGAAACCAGAGGTGTGATTTAATCTCACACAGGTTAGCACAACACTCCCAGCTCTGAACCACTCCCTGCAGTGCCTAATGCAAAACAGCAACAACAAAAGCAGAAATAGAGAACAGGAATGTTCAAAAGAGAAGCAACCAAAATCCCCTCCTCCACATTTGTTATCCATGCATAATACACTTCGGTATTTGAATACATGATTTTCATTATTTTGGAGACTGTAAAGAAGATTCGAAAGTGACTGATATCGGCATCATCAACATAATGTGAGACCATTAGACTCAACCAAAGCTTTCTAGAGCTTTTTTTCCAAGAAGAACTTGACAGACTTTTGTCACAGACACCTTTGCCCAGCTCCCAATGCATGTCTCTGCTCACTGTCTTTTCCAGCAAGAATCCGAAATCTTTAGCTGTGCCTTCAGGACACTGGGGAGTGCTGGAGTCTCATGTATAGGGGAAATGGGCAATTATAATCAATAATAGGAACAGACTGCACTAAGAGTAGGTTGCAGAAGGAAGATTGTCTCAGGCCCAGGGCTTTCTATTCAAAGTGGATTGTGGAAGGTCTGGGTTGGTGCCAAAGAACAGAGCAAGCCTAGAGACCAACTCCCTCAGGCTCAGCCCTATTTAGGATAAATGGCATTTCTGTTCCTGGTCAATCCTGAGACACAGTTTAATCTAAGAGGAGCGACATGGGAGGGAAAAAAAGAAAATGAGAAAAACCAATAAATAGTAAAAACAGGAAGCAGAAAAGACTGGCCTGGATGCACAGTTCTTTTTGTGCCTGTTAAATAAACTCTGATGGGGATGAGGAGAGAGAATTATCCTATTTATATATTGAAAGGAATTTTAAATATGCATAGGCAGGGAGAGAGGATCCGCAGAGATTGAAATGCAAAACACAGCATGGTCTGTGCATCCCCCTTCTATCTCTCAGTACCATTAGCAAGTTCCTTGCACCAATTTCTGGAAAGCTTCTTCTAAAACTCAGAGCCAGCCTTCTACTTACTCAGCATTTCTGTTTTAGAAAAGCAATTCTATTTTTAAAAAGGAATGGGCCTTCACTTGCAAAACACCTTGTAAATATATTCACACAGGAGCACAGCTCACAGGTTTACCATGATACACACGCAACCAACCAACCCATATACACACAGATGTACACAACCCTCCACCGCCCTTACAGATGCACCACAACCTCTTGGCGATGGGATTCCAAGCAGAGAGGGCAGTTCTACAACACACATGTGAAAGGAAATCTGCCATCCGGCAGGTAGACAGGAGCACAGATTAGATGTGGGGGGAATTTGTCATCATTCCACTGAGCACAATCATTTTGGCAATAAGTAGGGACAGAAAACTGAATACACTCACCCATGAGTATACTCCATCCACGTTTAAAATGTAATGCTCCACCCCACGTAAATCTTTAGTCCCTTGACAAATGCCATACTTGCTGTCCCCACCAAGCATACATCTCCTCTTCATTAGCAGGATGACATTGTCGTCACAGGCCTCACCGACAGGTAATTAGATGATAGAGTAGCTACTGCTGATTTCCCTGACTCTGGGCCAACAGACCCTGCATCCTAAGCCAAAGTCTTGGAAGAAAGAGAAATTACTAACTATAAATAAAATAAGAAAGAGAAATTACTAAATATAAATAAAATTATATTACTAACTATAAATATAAATAAATAAAAGAGAAATTACTAAATATAAATAAAACCATATAAATGATCTCACTTTGTCACAAATCCTCAATCTCTCCTTTCTTTTCCATCCGTGAGGTACACACAAAGGCCCTGTACTTTCAAAGGAGGCCTCTTAATCTATAGGATTTGATCACAAGCAACCTCTTTCTCCCAAAATGAAATATAGTTGGAAAATAACCTTAAAAATTAGAGTCCAAAAGTACCAGCCGCAGTCAGCCTATCCTTGCTCTACCTGCCATCACTATCCTTTGGTTCGGTGGCTACTCTGTAAGTCAGGTAAGGCCAAGATAGGCTGATTAGTGCATTTTTGACCTCTCATTTTCAAAGCTGATTATTTTCCAGCTAGGTCTTATTTTCAGGGGAACATGGCATGAGCATGGCTTTGGGAAATTCTCCATTCTCTCTCTGGTTATTTATAAAATTTTACAACTTTGTATTTTAATAGACAAAACTTTCAGACTATTATAATAAAGTTCCATTTAAAAATAATGAAAATATATGAAAAAATGGGAAGAGGCGGCAGGGTGGATTTTGACAGCCAGTACAATAGCCCAATTTAGTGCACACTGTGTGTTAGGTGTTGTTACTTCAAACAGGTAGAGATCTTGGAATGATCCAGCTACGTAGCTTGTCCTCCCTCCCAAGACCTAGGAAAAAGCCTTTCTTCAAAAAGACGCACACTTTGCAGCTGGCTTAGCTAATACACTACCTAGTTAATACGTTTCACATCACTTCTTCTAGATATCTGTGTCAGATGCCTCTCATTTTTGAATGATTGTAGCCTGGAGAGAAATAGAGGAATAGGGGGGATAAGAAAAATGATTAACTCCATAATGGTTTATAAAATCCAAGAAAGTTCAAGGTACTGACATCTGTGATGATTCAGAGTTTCAAACTTGTAGAAAAAATTTGGGTCTACAGAAAACTATCCACATGCAGCCCTGAACTACTCCCTTCCTGTCAACTGTGGCATCTTCCTTTTTGGGGCCTGGACATCGGACACAGAAAACAGAGTAGAGAAGGTGCAGAAAGCCCCCAGCGTGTGAACCATCGTAAAAGCACCGACAAGAAGGTGGTCCCAAGGCACAAGGGAGATGCCACATTTGGAAGAAAGAGATTTATTCGGGGCTGTATGTGGATAGTTATTTGTAGACCTGGATTTGTGATACCTGGACTATGTGAGCCATCATAGCTCTAATTATCTTAATGCATTATTT